CGTTTGCATTCCAAACAGCATGTTTACATTCATTTTACGTAATATTCATGTTAATTTACCCCTAGCATTCATGTGCATATAACGAGCCAAACAGTACCTTCGAAGAGAATTGATACACTTTATCTCCCATTCTTATCCATACTTCAGAACTCTAGGGTGGTTGGACGAGTACACGAATACTCATCCTCACCAGGACTTAAGAGTACCAAAATGACCTACTGTTTCCTCCTCCTGCACCGGAACCTCGGGAGAAGGGACGTTCAGAGGAGCTCTCTTCCATTTTGGATAGAGATGATGTAGTACTTTCATTGTCATTCTACTCTTCCCTAATCCTGTGCACTAATGTAATAAAAGGCTTAACTTCAGCATTTAATGATTCCCTTAGTCATATTATAAATGTATATATAATAATTTCATGTTTTCCATATATATATTCATGGATTGCATAATAAAAAGTGGAAGGATTGTAAGAAAACCTGAAAATATATCAGGAAAGCCAGTACTTAGGGGGGCAATGTTGACGTTAGGTACTAGCAACTAGGATACGCAAAAAAAAACAAAGAAATATCTAGCTTTAAGAGGATTAGGCCTACCCTAAAATTAAGTAACGCTCGACCTCGACACGTGATATCGAAATGGGTGAAATCACCTCTTGATATCGCTATCTTGAATCTTGAATCTTGGAGTGGTTGATGGTTTGTGGTTGGTAGTTGTTGTTTGGGACCAAGGACTGGTGACCATCCATTCCACTTCATGCTCTACAAAAGGTTTGAATTTCATATTTATTTAATAATAATTTTGCTGTTGAATGAGCATTTCCAAAACCAGATATGTCATGTTTACCACATGCATGATGTGAAGTTTGAAGTAATGGTATTCCCTCCACAATTGATTAAAGCTTTATATTGACTCGTGCTAACACTTGGGCTTAAGGAGCCATAGTTCTTCAGAGACAGGAGGACTCATCTACCCTGATTGTTTCATACTCATTTTATTTTAACAGGAGGAGTTTATATGAGAAAGCCATGCTGGAAGCAAAAGAAAATATGGAACTGAGAGGGACAGAATGGATGAGTAAGGAAGATCTTGAAGTGTCTCTAATTGAGAAGGTGACGGATGTGCAGTATGAAGAGTTTGTGCGGGTCATGGAAAGATTGGCTGTGCATCCAATGGCTGGATCTAAGGCAAAAGACTTCATCATGAAGCACCGGAAGCCCATCATCAGTGAGGCACTGAAGTGGGACATTCCTGAGGTTTGACTCATGAGGAAACTTTTATTCTTATTTAGATGTGTCCAAGGTGTCTTTGAGACATGATAGTCCTTAGTGAAAAAGGAACTTGGCATAATTAGGCCTAAAAATTGATAATGAAGAGTATTCAATCATCAGCACATATCTTCCAATTGTTTAAATCTCCTTTCACTGTTGTCATTGATCATTGCAACATCCTTCATACCCCAAAGTATTGCATGAAAATAGCTAAGAGGCTCTTCCCACAAGGTGAATTGATTTTGTTCCACAATTAATAGTTTTAAATAACTGTATTAACCCTTTCACTGCTACATTCTTTTTCTTGACACATCCCTGTGCTAAGTTTTTTGCTTCTTGTGCAACATTATGGCCCCTACTTAAAAATAAATACACTGCCTCATTTACCTTACTATGTAACTGGACTGGTTCAGATAGTCATGAAAAATCTCAGGTAAGAAGCACATGAAGAAATGCTGCAAGAAGATACACATTTCTGCACTTGAGTTAACTTGATCATAGCAGTGAAAGGGCTAAAGATTCAGTATAACTATTTTGTCTCAGTTTCAGTCAATGAACCATTATCACTCTGGAGCAAAAACAAAAACATTGCTACCTTGCTGTAAATTTTTTACATTTAAATACAGCTATTGAACTTAATTCTCCAAGATCCTCATTTTCTTAGCCTTCATACCTCATTAGCTATGTGATCCCCAAAAAAAGGTTCTAACCAATTTTCTGGGGGAATAGAGCAACGAGGGTAGACAGGATATAAGGGGCCCATTTTTTCCTTGCATCCATGGAGCTCATTATCCAAGCTTGATTGTTCTGGAGAGATTGAATTTCAGTACAAAAAAAACTGCCTGAGGGTAGACTTGTAACAGCCTTAGACAGCACATGGTGCTGTATAACAGGCAAGCTAGGCTAGTGGTTTGGGTTCCCTGGTACTTAGAAGGAATGCAATGAAATGTGGAGCATGAGTATATGAAGGTCTTCAAGTTCAATAACTGTATATTATACATTTCATATGAAAGATACTCTTCAAGGTAAAAAATGGGGATTATGGTTTTATTTCTTACCTTTCTATTTTTTGGCCTTGTCATATTCTTTATTATGAAAAAAAGCTTGGGAAAAAGTCACTTACATAATTACTCTTGGTCAGATGTTACTGAATCAAGAATGCCCCTCTGTAATTCTCAAGTATCTTTTGTTGTTTCAGTGTTAGATTGATTCAAGTTGTAAGTTTGATCTCTATTCATGGAGTGGTTTCTTTACAGATTCAGTATGACAAGGATGGGAATCCATTCAGTGAAGCAGAGGGTAAAAGAAAATGGGCCTTTGCCAAGGTGAGGTTATATCAACATGGCAGTGGGAAGTTTGTCATCAATGGCACCCATGGCATTGACTTTTTTGATGGCAAGCAAGAACGTGAACAAGTCCTCTTCCCACTGCACTTCACACGTAAGCCACTAAATCACTTATGCATGTGGGAGTCCCATCTTCCTATCTTGAAAGTCATGAAACATCAAAGGATTTTTGAGTTGGTGTATTGTCTGTTTTATGCCAAGCATGAAAATATAATAATGGTCTTGAAGGGAGCAAAAAACTATCCTTAACAAAAATATCTTCCATTTGTCTTTCAATGCTTTTTTTTTTCAGGAAAAATGAGTTTTACAGATAATGGTACTGCTACTTAATGTGCTAGAGAAAGGGATATTGCCCTACCTTGATAATATGTAGGCAGAGGATGCATTCAGTTATCTCATGCTTGGTTGATTGGCCAATCATGTATTTCATTGTTCAAAACTCACACTCAAAATAAAACAGCAACAACAAGCAAAACAGAGGTCCAATATTCAAAATTAATGAATAACTAAAATTTTGCATTTTTAGGGATAATATTCTATTTATGCATCATAATTGGAGTACATATATGTACTCCAATTGAGTATGAATTGAGTATTGAATATGAGTTAGTAATATATATATATACAAGGTCTGTCCCAAAAGTATCCAAACTTCAGTTACAAATCAATTTCCCATGTGATATTTATAATTTTTATTATTGATTATTCAAAATACGTCCCTTCCGAAGAAATGCAGGCTTTGCAGCGATCATACAACTTTTGGAAATACCTCTGGTAGTCTTCCTCCGAGATGGCGGAAATAACCTCGGTTGAAGCCTTTTGGATGTCCAAAATCGTGTCGAAACGCTTTCCTTTCAGCTTCATTTTTAGTTTGGGGAAAATGAAATAATCACTGGGTGCCAAATCAGGCAAATAGGGTGGGTGGTCAAGCACTACAACTCCTTTTGAGGCCAAAAAGTTCAGCACAATGATGGACCTGTGAGACGGAGCATTGTCGTGGAGGAGAGACCAGCTGCCTGGTGCTTGGTATTGAGGACGGAGCCGAGCAATTCTGGCCAGCAAACGCTTCATAACGGCGAGGTAGTATTCGCCATTTACCGTCTGGCCTTCTGGAACGAACTCCTTGTGGATAATCCCAGCCGAATCAAAGAAAGTTTGTTGTTTTCACTTTTGACTTCTGCATGCGCACTTTTTTTGGTGTTGGTTCTCCTGGAGTCTTCCAAACTGAGCTCTGGCGGTGAGTGGCTCACAATGAAAATACCATGTTTCATCGCCAGTTACAATGTTTTTGTTACAATGTTACAATGTTACAATGGGTTATTATTGGCGATCGAAATGATGTCTTGGGCATGCAGCACTCTGGCTTGTTTTTGATCGTCGTCCAAAGAGTGCGGAACAAATCGTGCACAGACTTTTCGCCGCGGCAAATCTCCGATCAAAATGCGGTAAACTTGTGATTTACCGATACCTATGATATCCTCAATGAGTCTCACGGACATGCAACGGTCGCTTTTGATCAAATCACGCACTTTTTCCACTGCTTCTTCCGTTCGACTGGTCAAAGGGCACCCGCTGGGTTTATCGTCTTCCAACGATTCTCTACCATTCCGAAACTTTGCATACCACTCACTCGTTAACTGTTGTACGGACCTGTTCCCCATAAGCCTTCCGCAACATATCGAGCGTCTCCGTAAATATTTTCCCCATTTTTACACAGAATTAGATGTTAGCTCTCTGCTCCATGGTGATTTCTCGACGAGTGTCATCAGGGTAGTGTTACTTTTGGCGCCCTAGGCGCCACTCATTCGTCTTAGCCCAACCAATCTCAAAAGAGTAATACATTCGTTCGACCAATAGAACACCACCTTCTTTCAACAAATGGCGCCACTAATACTGTCTGTTTAGAAAAAGTTCGGATACATTTGGGACACATCTTGCACGGCAGAAAATCATAATTTCCATACGATACATACGGCAAGAACAAACGTTCCAAAAACACACTAGAAAAAACTATTTCTTAAGGAAATTCTAAATCTAATTCCTGTATAACACGCCTCAATGCTCGCATATATGACAGAAAAGCACAATTAGGGTACGATCCGTCAAAGACAAACTTTCCCATTACGCACCAGGAAGACTACTTCTGAGGTATGGGAAAAACAAACTTTCCCATTACAAACTAAAGAAAAGCTAATTTTGAGGGAAATGCTATGCAACCACTGGAATCCAGGAAGGCACCGTAATGTTCACATCTATTGATACGACAGAAAAGCACAATATGGGTATGATTCGTCAATCCCAAACTTTCCCATTGCACACTAAAAAAACTCTTCCAAGCGAAACACTGTTACAATACTCCATTTGTTACAATACTCCAATATAACAATGCTCCATTTTCGCATCTACAACAGAAAATCACAATTTCGGTACGATCCGTCAAGGACAAACTTTCCCATTACACACTAAGAAACTCTTAGCAGAAACTCATAGCAGGGAAATGCTGTGAAACCATCTGAGTCCTATATAACACGTCTTAATGACAATTGTCAACAGAAAAGCACAATTTCCCTCCGATCCGGCGAGAACAAACGCTCCCATTACTAGAGATGTAACATTAGTAGTGGTAACATTGCCATAACGTTACCGGTTTACCGGTCATTACCGCATTGTTGCTTACCGGTAATATTATGGGTATATTACCAGTGAATAACTTCGTCAAAATTTTCAAGTTTTTTTCGCTAGAAAAATACTGCTGTATTTTTTGCCAATCACATATGACAATCGCACATAAACATATCACGGCTTTTCCAGCATTTCTGCATGTCTTTCATGTTATGCTGAGAAATTAGTAATTAGTACAGAGATTTCCTAACTCCTGGCTAATTCTTGTCAAAATTCCTATTGGATCCAGTATGTGTTCTTACTACAATCAGGTGGAACTAGCTGGTAACAGCTTTATGCAGCTATTATTCCTCAACAGCTGAAAAGCTGGAATTTGCCGGATAGGTGCAGAAACTAGCCTGTGTTACTAAGAGAATAAGCAAGGAGGGACTCCTGTTTGTGAAAATCTTAAGAAGTAAATAATTTTTTGCTGCTAAATTGCAGAAAGCACTGTTGAATCTCATTTCGGAGCTTTGAAGACCTACATCTTTCAAGTTCCCTTGTGTACCAATTTTCTTACACTTGAGTGATGACTTAGCTCATCTCCAAGCTGGATCATGCACCCTTCCATCTCCAATTCTACCCAGGATCATCAGGTTTATCAGCTAAGACACTACAGTTTCACTACACTACAGCTGGAAAGCGCTTAGGTTTCCATATGGACAATATAGGGAAAAGGTCAAATTTAGATACACAATATAATTTACAGATATTTACAGATTCACCTTTAAAAAAAATCCAGTTGGTATTGAGCTGGATTCAGCTTTCTAATCTAGGCTGAATCAATAATTACAGCTGGAAGTATTGACTTGGATACGCAATGGATGTGTTTATCCTATTCGCAATTCGGTATGATCAGTCAAGGACAATCCCATAACACATTCTAACATACTAGCATTCTAGCATAGGAATCCTGAATTCCAGCACATCAAATCCTTTCGCAGACTAGTTTACATTCAACTGGCACAAAATGAAAGTACTCTTCCCACCTCAATGCCAATCCGCTTTGAGAACCGTAATTACAGGATCTTCCTCTCTCTTGGAGACCTCCTCTGCTTTAATTGTAAGAAGGAAGGTTGCTCAAAACGCTTTTGTCCTCTCTTGATAATCCTTCAACTAATGGAAACAATGATGCTGAGACCCCTCATTCTGAGCTTCCCACTCAGGTTCCAACCTCATCACAAACATCTGAACCTACCGCTCAAATTCCAACCTCATCAGAAATATCAGACCCTCCTATCCCTAATGAACTCACCATACCTTCCACTTCTAATATGGACAAGAGCAAACTATCTCAACCCTCACATCCCAGATTGAACCCATACATAATATGGACACCTCAGACATCCCGGTCACTGTGATCTCCGAATAATCCCCTATTCACCCTGCAACTCAAGGAACAGAATCTATGCTACTAGTTGCAGAATGGCCGTCCCTGACATCAACCTCAAACTCTGGTCGAAAACGTTCATCATCGTTTACATCCACACGCCCTTCTACAACAAAAAAGGTGAAAGACTTCCCCCCTGAAAGTAACAGCGAATGGTCTGCTGTGAAACCACCAGTGTGATGATTTGAAACTGTCTGAAAAAGAAAAAAAGGTTCTCTCTAAAGTACACGTGTCTTCACCCTCTCTTAAAGTTCACAAATTCTTGCTGTTCCTTAATGAAGCAAGGAATTCCAAGACACCTGAAAAACTTGCCAAAAACTACACCCGAAACCTCCCTGACCTCTGCCTGATGATCGATTCCCTTTGTGCTATCTCAGTTGACAAAGAACTTGTTAACCTTTAAAAAAAAGACACATAGTCATAACCCTTCCTTTCACTGTGGAGTTCTTACTGCTTTTCCAAATAATTCTTCTTTCTCTTTATATAAAGAAATTGTACAAGGTTATCTTCTCTTGCTTCATTTCGTCTGGAATGATCTTCCTTTACTAGTCTACAATGTCTATGTTCCTCAGTTAGATGATCTCCCTATTCATGTCCTTGACAAACTAGAAATTGATCTTCTCAATACTCTTCCCACTGCTCTTATTGTTTTAGGAGGGGATTTTAATTGCACCCTACAGCCTACCATTGACAGGAAGAATAATAGTGAATATCGAAAATTCTTACAAACTCGTCTACAAGCACTAGTTCGATCACGTTGCCTAGTCGACGCTTGGAGAGAGTTTAACCCAAATATTACGGATTTTACATTCACAGGTAGAAGTCAAAATGCCCCACAAGCTAGACTCGATCGCTTTTATGTTAATGAATCTCTTTTAACGGGTGATGCGGTAAAATAGTGACTTTCTTTCAACAACAATTTCTTCATCATTTTATTAACACATCAACAGGTTTTATACATCATCTGAAAGCGCATGAAAAATACTACAAATTACATATACTAGCAATTTTCTACGACTACAGCTGCGATGTATTTGAAAATCAAAGAGTTGGCGAAATTCGAGAAACGGGAAAAAGTGTCGCAGGTGGCGGAATATTTCCTATCGCAGCCAGGATGCCAATTCCACTTTTAGACAACTGTGATGTTAAATCTTCGCCAGAAAAGCAAAGAGTTGGCGAAATTCGACAAATGGCGAAAAGTGTCGCAGGTGGGGCATATTCTCGTACTAGAGCCAGGATGCCAATTCCACCATCAGAAACCTGCATTGTTGAATCTTCGCCAGAAAAGCAAGGAGTTGGCGAAATTCGACAAATGGCGAAAAGTGTCGCAGGTTGGGCATATTCTCGTACTAGAGCCAGGATGCCAATTCCACCATCAGAAACCTGCATTTTTGAATCCTTGCAAGAAAAGCAAGGAGTTGCCAAAATTACACGAGTGGCGAAAAGTTTCACAAGTCGCAGAATTTCTCCTCTCACAGCCAGGATCCCAATTCCACTTTTAGACAACTGTGATGTTGATTCTTCGACAGAAAAGCATAGAATTGGCGAAATTCGACAAACTGCGAAAAGTGTCGCAGGTTGCAGAATTTCTCCCATTCTACTATTATTTCGGTCGCCTCCACGGATGGTCGTGTCCGCTTGAGCTCTTATTTTCGTTCGTCTTTTTCCGTCGTTTACTGTTTTTTTTTGTTCTTTGTACTTCCCATCATTTGGTATGTCCATCTTCCCTCATTCTTATGGATTTTAATAAGCTGTTTTACAGTTATTTTTCTCTGTTTGGCCGTCAGTTCCTGATTGTATTTCTTTTTCACTGTTCCCCTTATAATATAGAGCCGTTTTGTTGCTTCCTCTACTCCCTGAAAGCTTTCGGCTGTGACCCTGAACCTTCCCCTCTTTTTTTTTTCTGGCTGGTTCCCTTTTTCTGTGTCCTTGAGCTACTTCTTCCTTTCCTTCCCCTCCCCCCTTGCAGGCTTCTGTCTGCAGGGGGAAAGGTTTTGCTATGTTTTCTCGCTCGCATGTTAGTGGAGAGAGACTCCCAAGGAAAAACGCAGTTCTGTTTCAAGCCATTGAAAATGCTTCTCTTGAAGAGCATGTTGAGGCGATAAGTAAAGAAATACCCCCTTCTTCTATTCGCTATGCGAGTAGGATTTCTAATGGTCGCATTTGTCTCTACCTTGAATCTAATGATGCTCTCAATTCTCTCATTGCCTCTGGGTTCTCTCTGAATGGATCTTTTGTCGAGATCCGGCGTCTGGATACTGCATCCAGGAAAATCATTCTCTCTAATGTCTCCCCTGAACTCCCTGATTCTGTCTTGCTTGACTCTTTGTCACCGTTGGGAAAAGTGACCTCAAATGTGATTGTCCTTGGAGCTTCGTTGAGGAAACCTGAATTCCAGCACATCAAATCCTTTCGCAGACTAGTTTACATTCAACACCGTGTTTTACTTTCATGAGAAGGGTGGAGTTACGGTTAGACGAAACTCTTGGCTAATTACAGGATCTTCCTCTCTCTTGGAGACCTCCTCTGCTTTAACTGTAAGAAGGAAGGTCACTCAAAACGCCTTTGTCCTCTCTTCAATAATCCTTCAACTAATGGAAACACTGATGCTGAGACCCCTCATTCTCAGATTCCCACTCAGGTTCCAACCTCATCACAAACATCTGAACCAACCACTCAAATTCCAACCTTATCTCAAACATCTGAACCTACCGCTCAAATTCCAACCTCATCAGAAATATCAGACCCTCCTATCCCTAATGAACTCACCATATGAGTTCACTTCTAATATGGACAAAGGAAGAGCAAACTATCTCAACCCTCACCTCCCAGATTGAACCCATACATAAAATCACATGGACACCTCAGACAACCCTGTCACTGAATCACTGGATCACTGAATTATCCCCCTATTCACCCTGCAACTCAAGGAACAGAATCTATGCTACTAGTTACAGAATGGCCGTCCCTGACATCAACCTCAAACTCTGGTCGAAAACGCTCATCATCGTTTACATCCACGCGCCCTTCTACAACAAAAAAGGTGAAAGACTTCCCCCCTGAAAGTAACAGCGAAAGGCCTGCTGTGAAACCACCTATTGATGATCTGAAAATGTCTGAAAAAGAAAAAAAGGTTCTCTCTAAAGTACACGCGTCTTCACCCTCTTTTAATGTTGACAAATTCTTGCTGTTCATGAAGCAAGGAATTCCAAGACACCGGAAAAACTTGCCAAAAACTACACCCGAAGCCTCCCTGACCTCTGCCTCTGATGATTGATACCCTTTGTGCTATCTCACTTGACGAAGAACTTGTTAACCGTTTGAAAGGTATTAAGAAAAAAACTTGAAAAATCCTCAAGGACACAGCACATTACAATAAGAGTGAGAATTCACACTTTGAATGGATATCTGCAGTTGGAATGTAAACGGAATTGCAGGAACAACTCGGTTTCATGAGTCCTTCACCCTGCTCCGTGAACTACGTTTCAATTTAGTCCTCCTTCAAGAAACCCACCTTCCTCATTCTGGGAAAATACTAGATGAATGGGGAATGGAAGGAATCTCTAGTTCTAACCCTTCCTTTCACTGTGGAGTTCTTACTGCTTTTCCAAATAACTCTTCTTTCTCTCTCTCTCTTCATGTTGAGAAATTGTAAAAGGTTATCTTCTTTTGCTTCACTTCGTCTGGAATTATCTTCCTTTACTAGTCTACAATGTCTATGTTCCTCAGATGATCTCGCTATTCATGTCCTTGACAAACTAGAAATTGATCTTCACAAAACTCCTCCCACTGCTCTTATTGTTTTAGGAGGGGATTTTAATTGCACCCTACAGCCAACCATTGACAGGAAAAACAATACTGAATATCGTAAATTCTTACAAATTCGTCTACAAACACTAGTTCGATCAAGTTGCCTAGTCGACGCTTGCAGAGAGTTTAACCCAAATATTATGGATTTTACATTCACAGTAGAAGTCAAAATGCCCCACAAGCTAGACTCGATCGCTTTCATGTTAATGAATCTCTTTTAGCACGCATCAATTTTTCAAAGATAATTTCTACTTCCTAAATTTCAGACCATCACCTGATCACACTCTCTATCTCTTGCCCAAACTCCTCCTTCAGATGTTCAGCCTTCTGGCACTTCAACAATTCCTTATTAAAAGATGGCACTTTCATTTCCTCTTTTCTAACAACATGGAATACCATCCTTTATGAACGAACTCACTACAACTCCCCCGGCGATTGGTGGGAAATAGCAAATGCCAAAATTAAAATGTTCTCCATAGAGTTCTCAACCACAAAGAAAGCCAACTACTCAAACGTCCTCTCTTCCTTCGAATCTGACATAAGATACTTGAAAACTTGTGACCGAAGCTCTCCTGACCTTGTGAAGAAGCAAGATGAATTACGACAATACCTCAGTCATATCGTAGAAGGAGCACTCGTCAGATCGCGAGAACAAGTGCTTTCCTTAACAGATGCTCCAACTATTTACTTCTCTTTGGAAAACAACAAAAGCTGCAGGCAATCTTTAACTCAAATCAGACATGAAGCCACTGGAGAAAGTCTTCGGGACAAGTGAATCAAATGATATTGACTTGCCCTTCACCATCCTTGAATTTGACAAAGTTGTTAAAACCCTTTCAAAACGGAAGAGCCCTGGACTAGATGGTCTCACCACCGAATTTTACACCTTTTTCTGGCCATACTTGAGAGAACCCTTGTATGAAATATTCTTGTCCACTCTCCAATCTCAGGAACTCCCACTTTCCTTGAGACGCGGAGTGATCACTTTAGTTCCAAAGGGTGGTGATGAACTGAATATTAAAAACTGGAGCCCCATTACACTCCTGAATACAATTATAAAATTTTCGCAAACCACTCGATTGAAACGTGTCTTGACCAACATTATCCACCCTGACCAAACATACTGCATCCCTAATCGCAATATCAAAACAATCACGGAATGATTTGAAACCAGATTCAGAAGATATGAAAGTTGCGATATCATCAGCATATGCAGAAACAATATGAGGGTAAGGGAGCCATGGGTGAGTGGAATGCAGTTTGCTAGCTGACGACGAATTAAATTGAGGAATGGTTCTAAGGAGATCGAGAAGGCCAGATAAAGGATCACCTTGTCTGATACCTCTTTAGAAGGGAAAAGAAGCTGACAAATACTTCCCTATTCTCAGTAAAGATTGGTTATTTTTGTAGAGGGTTTTGATTGCTGATAAAAACAACAGAGGGAAGGAGAGTTTCTGTAGCGTATAAAGAGATAATCATGCGAAACACGGTCAAAGGCCTTTTCTTGATCTACAGAAATAATACCTAAAGGACATTTATACTTATTGGAGTACCAGATTACGTCACGAATTAGGTGGAGATTGTTTTGAATAT